ATCAAAGAACTGCCCTCCGATATCTGGCACCCCCTGCTGTTATTCTCTTTGAACAAGGGAAGGGAGAGAGGAAGGGAAAAAGTCAAATATATGACAGACGACGAAATGGCTCAGTGTTACCATGCATTTATTCTTTATGACAATATTTTTAATTATTAAGATGATATCTGTGTTGCATACAAAAGGCCTGGAATATGTCAGGCCTTGCAGAAGAGTGGTTTGTGTGAGAACGTTTCCTAATTTATAGCTGCTTAACATATAAATGGTTTGACTTTGAATATGATAGAAATGCAGTTTTAAACAGTATGTGCCTAATCATTTTACCATCAGTCATGCATAAGTGAAAATGGGTTTTGGTCTTTGTGAATTCTCCCTGAATAGCTTTTGATTTTCTGTTGCCTCAAGATGTTCTCTGCTGAAAGGAATTGAATGTAACAGATCGCTTCACTGGTCTGGCAAAATTGAGCCTATGATTTATAGTGGAAAATCAATGGATTGCACAATCGTGCCATTTTTTGCTCAAGTCTCCAGCACTTCACTGCACTTGGGTCTACAGTTGTTTTTTCCCGGTGACAATATTGATACAAGTTTTTCTACTCTCCTTTTTTTCCCTTATTTTCCCACCTTTCCCAAAACCAAAACTTTTGCTCATGTGCATATTGACTTTTAATGTTAGAAACTCTTTACGATGGCCCGGTCCATTCTTCAGTGAAATGCAGTAACACAGTGATGCGTTACTGTAGCTTGTTGGTGCTGAACTCCTCAGAGATTCACAGACGAGGAATCAGTGGTGTAAAGTAACTGAGTAGATTTACTCAAGTACTGTACTTAAGTGCTTGTACTTTACTTGAGTAATTCCATTTTATGCTACTTTGTACTTCTACCCCACTACAATTCAGAGGTTGATATTGTACTTTTACTCCACTACATTTACAAAGTACCTTTAGTTACTTTGCAGATATATTAATGATAAACAATTGAATCAACCCTTAAATAAGACTTTAGGTTAACTTGGCTTAAACTAAGAAGCTACCCTGCAGTATACAAAGTTATTAAAACTAGCTGCACCTTTACCAGCTTTGACAACACTGTATCAATAATTATATCAAAACATATGATATTATTATTCTGAAATGGGCCAATCTGCATGATTATTACTTTAACTTTTGGTACTTTATGTATGTTTTGATGCTGACTTTTTCTACTTTCACTTGAGTAACATTGTGAATGAAGGACTTTTACTGGTAACAGAGTATTCTCTGGTACTTCTACTTCTACTTAAGTACAAGATCTGAGTACATCTTCCACCTCTGCCAGGAATAAAGCAACGAAGATGCATAATAAACGAATTAAAAGAACACATGTTTATGCCAGTGTGAAAAGGCTTGATAAAGTAAGATAAAAGGAAGAAATCAGAGAAAGCATCAGTAATAAAAGGACAGATTAATGTCAAGATGCGGTTTCAACAGGCTGCCATCTGGAGTATGCATCCATTTCCATTTTAATAGCACTGTTTACGGCTGTGTGTCTCTAGACAATAGGGGACTACCTATTGTATGAATCATTGTTTGTCCCTCTGCGTTCTTAACATCACTCTGTCTCCTCCACTTTTGTGGTTTCAACAGAAACTGAAAACTGTGTTTATCAGTAGTGTCATCTTTTCACAAGTGTTTTCGATTTGCATTTGTATAGCCACACCTTTGTGGCACAATATTGGATCAAGTTTTTTGCTGCTCTCATTTTTTTCCAGATAATGAATAACACAAAATAAACAGTCTGCTTATGTGTGTAGACCTTTTTAATTCTTTACAATAGCTATCTATTCCTCAGTGAAAGACACAGTGCTGCGTTGCTGTAGCTTGTTTTTGCTAAACCTGGCCTCAGATGTGGTTGTCTGTTAGGACCGTGTGCCCTGCCCAAATACCAGAGCTACAAATTCAAGCCTCAACATGCTGTTCCTGTACACCACACCTATCACTACAGTCGTAAGATCATGCAGTCAGTAGACTCTGTTATACATCTGATCTGGAGCTGAAACAAGATCGTACTCCACCACTAAGGAGAGAAAGAGTCAAACTAAAGTGCTTCTCCGTTCTTCTTTACCAGTAATGATATTAAAATCCCCCTTCCAGTCCGCTTCTCTGACGAATGATAATTCTACTAACATTTTAACGCTATTTCTTCATCATCTCTGTACAGCACAGAGCCAGTTTTGAATAGCCAGTCAGCAGGGATTGGATAATTACCCCTGCCCCACCGTTGAGCAGCTAATTAATTTGTTCTGTGCTGCACCCCCACGGATGGCGTTGATCCCTGCACTGCAGACATGAGCTCATCAAGCTCAGCTAAGATTGGAATAATTATTATCAAAGGTCTAAAAGCAATGTTGTGGAAACCTGACACTTCCACAGCCTTAGATGTATACTGAAATACTGAGATTGCATTAACTGTAAATACAGTATTGTAGAAGAAAATACCACGTCAATTAGTTTTACCATGCCATATTTACAGTATCTGCACCACTATCACATTTGAAAGACAGAAACAAATAGTAAAATAAAACGAGACACATAAATCAAAAGCAATACATAAATACAATAACAAAGATGCACAATATGAACACAGTTTAAAATATACACAAGTCTGGCAGTGGGACTGAATGAAGTAAAAGAAAAGGCATAAATCAGAGAAAGCAGCAGTAATAAATGAACAGAATAATTTGAAGAAGCTGTCTCAGAACAGAGTGCCACTTTACGACCGGAGTATGCATGCATTTCCATTTTAATACTGTTTACGGCTATGTGTCCCTAGAGAGCAGGGAACGACATATTCATTGTTTGTCCCTTTGCATATTAACATCACTCTCTGTCTCATCCACCTCTGTGGTTTCAACTCAAACTGAAAATGAGGTTAAACAGCGCTGTCATCTTTACATCAGTGTATCTAATTGCAGTTTGTCACTTTGGGGACGAAATCTATGCCATCTTTTTTGTAACAGCCCAGCACACTTCGCTCCTGCGTTAATACAGTTTAGCTCCATTGCACATGCATGCAAGCAGGACTGAGTCACATTACCCATGATGCTTCTTGTCAATCCGAAGGTAGGGGGTAGGGTATCCCTGGAGTCTCTGTCGCTGGACGGGAGACACCTCTGAGTCACCGCTGTCGCCTGCTGTGATGTCACTGATGCATCATGAAGAAGAGATTCCCTGCAGTCAAAATAGCAGCTACAAGGTCAACATGTCAAAGTGGTTCTGATGGGGGTCTGGCCTCATCCTATTCAATGTATTGATTTTTGGAGATCATCAAGAGGGTATAAAAGAGATTACCCTCCCATTCCCGGGCCTCCTATGATAACTTTTAACCCTTTATCCTATTTGTATTCGTATTCCTTCACTTCTACCCCAGGATCAATCCAAAAGAAAACAAGCATGGTCCTCCACACAGCTACACTGAACAACAAACAGTAGTATAGCATTATGGGATGCTATGAGTGATCCCTTAGCAGCTGCTTATCCATCATCCAGACAAATCAATGGTTAATGTGAGCTTTGGGAGGGCAGAGACTTTGAATATTACATACAATGTTAGAGTGATGAATAACCCTCCCCTGCCGTGTTGTAATCTTCACAGCCTGCTTCCAACCCTTTGGTGTTATGGATTTGTCAGAAAATGAATTAGCTGCATGTGAACCTTAACAGCTCTCTCCCTATATATTGACTTTCTTCTCCTTCCATTTTGAAATGGAAATGTGGAGTAAAAGGTGCCAACAAGCAGGCATTAAAATAAATCTGTAGCATCACTTCAAAAATATGAATCATGTAAGCATGTTATATGTGCAGGGATACTAACATGTCATATTTAGATACGGATCCATGAATAGGTGCAAAAGACAAGGTGTTGCATGTTAACAGCTTGGAAGCAAAGTCCAAAAGCCACAGACGTGTCCAGAACATGATATGCAATTATAAAAGATAGTAAAAGGTTTTCGTCTCCAGAATTGTTTAACCTGTCACAGAGCTCAGACTGGTATTTGTACAGTAGGTCTTAGAATAAATAGGCTTCCTCAATGCAGCTTTATTTTGTGTTTAAAGTCATTTACCAACAAATCCATCAAAAGACAGGTCCCAACATCATACTGATTAATTGTTATTTTATGATTCCATGACGTGCAATGCCTACATTACCCTAATTTGAATGAAAAATGGTGTCCTTCCCATCCACTGTGGTTGATGCTCTGCAGTTGCCAATAGTAACCGAAGCTAGCCAAGAGCAAAATCCACTCGGCAGTGAATGAAGCAGAGAAGTGTTGGGAGGGTGGAGGGCTGTATTATATCACTGAATACTTCAAGGACCATTAAAAGAGTTCTTGTCAATGAAAAGTGTGCTTCATCAATGTGATGTCCGAACAGAATAACAGCACTAGTCACGACCCGGATACTAGACATTTTATTTCTTGTGTAATCTATTATGTAATTCTTTGCAACAATGTGTGTTGTTTTTAGACCTACGTAGAGGAAGTGGTGGTGTAGGTCTACACTTACTGTGCACTATTTGTATATTGAAGAAAAGTATTTTTTATATATATATATATTTGGGAAAGGCAAACATCAAAAGTTGCACACTGCAATTCTATCGTTTGTGATTAGTCTAAATTGACTACACATTATGCATCCACAGCCTAGTGCTATTTGTCTGCCATTCATTCACATTTATTAGCCGAATTGAGTGACTTTAAGCGAGGAGGATCAATTATGATGCACCTGCAGATGCATCACAAGTAGCCTATGAGAGAAATCAGGCCTTTCATTAATAGCAGGCTCCTGTCTGCATTACGTATTTGCAGTTCATCTCTCCGCCAGATGATGGCACGATCAGACCTGGGCGGATCTAGTAGAAGAGGGGGCTGGCTAAAATCCTGCAGGAGTCTGCCAATCACAGCTCGAGTTGGAGCCTGCTCGTACTACAGAGCCACACTGAGGTCTCGGCGCGCATCGCACACTGTTGGGACCTGGGAGAAATCACAAGGGGAGGAAGCCGTGAAGATCTGATACGGCGTCGATTTGCCAAGACAGCACGGACTCTGGTTAATTCCTTCAGGTGGCACGAGCCTCCCGCACGGGTCTATCCGGACCGCACTGCAGCCTGGCTTTGCTCTCCCGCCTGTCAAACCAAAAATCCTGAGTATAGCCAACGCGCGTACCTGAACGGACAAGAGGGTTTGTTTGGTTCATGGTGTTTTCAACTGGATTATCACTTTCGATAGATACAAACAAGTGGCCAGCAGCCACCGGAGTCAAACCCAGGGATTACAATTGTGTGTAAAGCCTTGGTTACGCGTGCAGCGTCTGCATGCGCGCCTCCTTTTCAAATCAGAGAGCAAAGTGCTGATAAACCCACTCCACCTGGACTTTCGACCTGAGGAAGGAGCTTCTTGGTGAACTGCAGTTGACAGGAGCGGCACCGACCGAATTGCTACTGGGAAACTGAGAATCCTGCGAAAATGCCTCTCGCTCAGATCGCGGAGCCATGGCCCACCATGGAACTAGTGCAGCTCGAAACGGAGGTAATGAGAGGTGAAATATGTCGACGCTATTTTTTGCATGCATTGTTTGACCAGTTTATTCGATTGAGTTTGATTGGTTCAGGTAAAATGGCGCACAAGGTGTGAGCACCTTAGCCCTCGATTCAAGGTGTTGCCACTTTCTGGAAAAAGTTATTCAAACTATAGCCTTCATACTTAGCTGGGGGAAATAGACTCAATTAATAATTCATAATGTATGTTAAGGGTTTTACATTAGAAATGCAAGACATGATCCCATAAATAGTTTGTCCATTACACTTGAATCCCACACTTTGGAGACTTTCCTTTTTATGACTGACAGTCCTGACTATCTTAGGGAAAGTTTAATTGTAACCTCTTCATGTAAGAGTTTTTAATTGGCACCCAAAGTAGATTACAGAGTTAAATTCTGAAATACTTAACTTTGTGGGCTTTCACTGGAGCTTTAGGCCAACTCCATTTAAAAGCTCCATCAGCAGAGAGAAAAACAACCCGTGTGAACTAAAGGAAATCTCAAAAGTATTCTCACACATGTATCACAAACTAAAAAAAGGGGTACATGCAAGCTCTTCGTTTGCTATGTGTACTTTAAGTGAAAGTAATGTGTTGCAGAATTACTCTTTTTTTTCCTTGTTCTTATTCTAAAGATGTACAGTTTATTTAACACCCACTCTTGTGCCACCAGTCTCATGCTGTGGCAGTGTGTGTATCCTCTGCACAGGTGAAAAACTGCTTTGTGTCTGAATACTACACAACAGGTAGAGGATGACACTGTTGAGCATGGAAAGATTGAATGTTTTCCAGAGCTTTTAGGGTAAGGGAAGCGATAGAGATTTGTGATGCTTGTGCATCCAGACCCCTTTTATTCTGATGGCATTATTATTCATGAACTCTTCAATTGGCTCTTGAACAGGCTGGTTGCTTAGTGAATATGCATCTATCATATTATGGTTATGATGAGCAGACAGTGGCTGCGCGGATGCAATCTGTTTCACATTTGGCTACACAGGTTTCCAAAAAATCAGTTTTCCTCGTTTCGAATACAATATCTGTGGGTCATCTAAGGAAATCCTCAATTGAATTACTCATTAGACTAAGCAGGTGAAGCGAGCTGTCATGGCAATGTTTTGTATGTCTGATCTCACTGATAAACAGCTAGGCACACAATATAACACATTGTCCTCAATCAGCTGTACAAGAGATCAGTCTGATTATAAATTAGGCTTATTTTCCCATCTCTCTGTCCAGATAACCTCTCTTTGATGATGAAGCTGAGGAAATAATTTCCAAGAATGTAATGAAAACTGAGTTTCCTCATAAAATGTGAGGCCTAATTCATGATAGACAAGTACCTGTTACGCTATGCAATTAATCAGTAGAGCACTTCCACTATTGGGGAAGTATACAATACATTCTTTATTGTGCTCTTGCAGACACAGTTAATTGAAGATCAGTCAGATGTTATTACCGGTGCTTTTATAATGAATGAGTCAACCTTCAAATAGTGCAGAAAGAAGCAGTTTTACAACACTTGTTCAGTTTTTTTGTTCACAAACTCTACTATTTACAGAATTCTTCAGCATATGAGTTGGCTGAGTAACGTATAACAGCTGAACAGATGGTGTTGCGGAGCTGTGAAGAGTGCAGGTTTATTACTGTAAGAAATACCCTGCCTTGGGAATGTGTAATGGTCACACATCTTTGGTAACCAGTGTGTGAGCTCATTGCTAAAAATAGAGTATAGTTATCAGCCTATATATATATATTATAAGGAGAGATTACTTTTGGCTGCCCATGTCCACCAAAATCCAGTATCTGTAATTGATTTGAACGCACCAGTCACAGCCAGTCAATGTGGGATCTGTGCCATTTATCTCTGTCACCAACCTACCAGCCAGCTGCACCCTTGGGTTCCTGATGGCGGAGGGCTCAGATTGATTGAGCAGAGAGAGCGACTGAGTCTGGAGGCGTGCCAGCGAACATGTTGGGAGAGTCAAGCGGGTGGCACAGCCGAGGGTCTGCTTGTCATACAGACAGATGGGACAGACACTGAGACAAACTTTTGGCAGATTTGGAAAATAAAGGACAGAAGATACAGAATCCATCAAAGAAACCATTCTCTTCTGCATTTATTCAAACAGAAAGTGTGTTGTGTTTTGGCAGCTGATGGGAAGTTTGTTTCCCAATCACTCTTTGTGCAAGTGCTTTTGTTTGGAAGGTGTCATGAAGGGAACATTTGATATAGTGGCTTTTGTAGTTGAAGCTGGTGCAAAGCAGGCGTTCAATGAATAGAGCTATTCAAATTAGTTGGATCGAGCCCTTTTATTCATCATCAAACCATATCTGTTATGAATTAACTTCTCAGTGAATCATTTCTGATAAAAGCACTTCAACAAATAATCACCATTCTGTCCCAGTTGAGTCACTACCACCTGCATTGGCCATGAACGTTAGTAAAGTTCCTGCAAAATACCTGAATCATGCTTCTGTCAGTGTTTAGTTGTTTCAGATTTCCTCCAAAATATTAATGGATCCAAATCCTGTAAATGGAAAGTTTAAATGTTTTAAAAGTGGACCAGTACCCTATGTTTATCCATAGTCCGTGTATTACCTACAATAGATGGCGGTTGGGGATGCTGGTCTAGCGCTGCTGATCTGATTTTTTTGTTTTGTTATTGAGGGACTTTTGTGAAACTATAGAAACCACCAATAACGCACATTGACACAAACTGACTGACCATTGAGGCAGCAGTAGATTAGCAACCATTGTTCTGCGAGGTCAAATTATTGTTTCTGTGAAAGGATATAGTGGCTTTGAAAAGAGCATAGATAAAGCTTTAGTTCCCACTTGGAAAGGGTTAGCTGACAGCAAGGTAAATGGGTAAACAAACAAAGCAAACACTTGAACTTCATCTTTGATTTCTGCTTGTTTTTGTATCTTGATGAGACCTTTTTAGCTTGTCTCTGTCCACAACCTGTGTTTTGTTCAATTCGATTTTGTTTGATGGCCACTAATGAATTTGTTCTATTATATTAATTCCTAATGCATTATTTTTCCTTTCAGCCTCTCTTTTTATTGCTTTGAACTGAACTGGCCACTTAGCTTTTCAACTTGAACTTCTATGTGAAATCTCAGCCGTATAACATTTTCAATCGATTGGCATCTAGACCCCAGTCCACCAATTGTGGCATAAAGTCATATACATCTATTGTCAGAGGAGAAGAGACCTAGCAAACTAAAAAGAAAAAGTTGCCTCAAAGAGAGACAGCACAAGCCAAGACGTTAGGAGCAGGATTGTACAAGCCTTGATGGCGGAGGAGAAAGATTGCTTTTCTTTTTTCGGCTATTACGTAACAGGCCATGTAGAGGAGAAAGTAGGGTTGACATAAGGAATGTGTGCCATGTTTGCAAACCAGGCGTGGTCAGCAGTGCACACTTTAGTACTTGTGTGAGTGTGTGCAAGCTGTGTATCACATTTGTGCTTTTTCTCTTTTGTGTGCGTGCATGCAGGTAAAGGTTTAGCTGCAGCTAATCTGGGTGTGACGTGTTGAACACCTGAGCAGAGCTGTGGGAGTGGAGCAGGGCTGAGTGGGCATGTGTTAACAAAAACCTTTGCCTGATAGCAGCCCTGAGAAAAAAAGTCTTTCTTTTGAACTTCAGAGTTACAAGTTAACCTTTGAGTGAAGCCAAGACGGTGTGTTTGCCTATGTTGGGAAGGAGCCTTTTTGCAGATATTAAACTAGACTGCTAGAAATACCGCTTGTTTATTTTCTGGCATTGACCTGCTGTCAGTTCTCACTGGCGGGTGAGATTACAAGAAGTGTACACAGATAGTAGCACATGCACAGACAAAGGAATGGTTATTGTATTTCTTAGTTGCCTAGTTACAGGGCATTGCTGCTCTAATCACGCTGTTAAAACACAGATTTATCTATCAAACACACACACAGCGTCAGCGCTCTGAGATTGTTTAACTTGCCTAATCATATAGGAGTCCTGTGAGAAATTAAAAGGTTTTCCGTCTGGCTCTGTCGGGTTTAATACGTTGGTCTATAAATCTTTTTACAGCATGCTTGTGGCCTGAAATGTCTTCCAGTAAATTGTGTGCTTATTGTATCGCATTTTTCTATAAGTGTATCTGCACAGTATAGTTCATGCACTTCTTGGATTGTTTTCTAAGTCACGTTTGTTTATTAACTGCTTCTTCTTGAGCATATGTATGGGTGCATGCCTGTGCTCTCATTCAGGAAGCCCAGGGGAGGGAAAGCACCATTAACTGGGCCACTTGGATCAACCATGCAAAGCTAATGAGGTTGAAATGTGTTGAGCAGCAACGTCGGGAAGGGATTGTTGACCACACACACAGAAACTCAGACAGTGTCACTTACACATTTAAGATTCACACCATTGGCTTCACAGCACTGAGTTAAAGAAAGCCTATCACACACTCCTGACTAATGGCATATGAGTAGAGAGGAAGGGAAGAGTAATTATGTGGACTGATTTCGATTTGAGATTGAATTTATCTGCAAGGCCCATTGTTACAACACACACTGGACTTCCTCTCCTTTGAAATGACTACTCCTAAAACACATCTGTACATGACTTCGAACTGCACTTGGCCGCTTAATTGTTTCCATTTCTCCTGTCACCTCACATTATAGCTTTTATTGCTTGCACAGTTTTCCCAAATGTAATTACCTCTCTTGAGATCATGATTAAAGTCCAACCAGATGAACTATTGGTTTATAAAACTGCCCGAGGTTTTTCCTTTTGAGTATACAAGAGCTTATCAAAGCCGCTTCCTTGTCATTGCCTGTGCTTCCTTTTATGTCTTGCACTGCTGTATAGCCTTCTGTTTAGTGTTTGATTGTTATGGCCACTGCTTGTCATTGTGTGGACTGCCTGTTATATTTTGTGCAGTCTTGAAGGAAGAGGGAAAAGGGAAAAGGGCTTGGAGGAAGGAAGTGAACATCAGGGTCGCCCCTCTATAAGGGGAAAACAAAGTGAAAACGGAAAAGGGGGTTGGGTAGTTTTTTTTACGATGTTCTCACACTTGGCCAGAAAACTTGACTTTGATTTCTTTGACAATTGTTAGGGGTCAGTTATCATCCAATATTTATGTTCATGTTAAGGTCAATGTACTATTAACAGGGATTAGTCAGACTGTGTGTTTAAGGATATTGTATCGTAGTCTTCTGTAGCTCTGCCGGAGCTTTACCAAATCTGAGAAAAATTACTTGGCTGAACTCGGCTTGGGATTGATGAATACAAATGTATAACAGTAAATATGAATTTCAATTTTTTGTATTATCTGTAAATAAGAATTTGGGCTTATATTTTATTTTATCATAACAAAATAGGACCCATCACATACACTGCACATTTTTTTTTTTTTAACAATGTAGGTACTATGCTAATGCTGATAATACAAGTCATGATTTGAAACATTCAACCAAAAATTGCATTTGACTTTTAATAGGTTGTTTGGATGGTTTCAGGACTGCTTTCCTGGATCCTATCTTAGTTTAAACAGTTTACACAAAGAAGCAATCTCTTTGGCTAAATGGCCAGGGGTCCAGAGGGAAAACAAACCTCTCCTTTGTCCCAAGTGTAAATTACTACAATCCATTCCCCACACGATTAAGTCCTCTATCTTAATTCCCACCTTACTTATTATTTATTGCGTCCCTATAGACCTTTGATCCGCAATGACATGTGAATCTAATTTTCATCATGATGACCCCTACTTTTAAACAATTATATCATATCTAAACAAAATCACCACTTTCCTCTGCTTACCATTTTCCTTGTCCTACCTGTGTGTGCAACAGAATCATATACACATCTAATTCTGTCACATAAAATCAAAGTTAGCCACCCATTTCTACCATATAATAACATGTTGGTTTTTACAAATAACAATGATTACCCTTTATTTTGCAAGCCGTACCTACTGGAGAACGATGTGCATTTGTGTGTCGGCCTTAGATTATTAGGTTTGCCAGCAGAAGAGCAAAGTGCTGGAAACAGTGGACCACCCACACGGTCTTGCAAATATTCTCTTGTATCTCTCTCTCGCTCTTTCTGTGTCTCACACACACACACACACACACACACACACACACACACACACACACGATATTGTCTCTGTCACACACTCTGACTGTTTCTCACATTTGCTTTCTCAACAGAATGGGCAGAGCACTGCTGAGGATGGAGTCACGCCTGCTGTCAAGGTACATGGCATCTCTGGAACACACATACTCACAGAAGACACACACTCAGACACACAAATGTGACTCAATATTCACGCAGCTTAACATCCAATACATTACATCGAGGACTTAAACGCACCGCATAGCATTCTTTGGCTTTTGTGCTTTTCTATGGAGGAAAGCAGCAGAAGGCAACATTCCATTAAAGGGCAAATTCGTGTGTGATCTTCATTTTGAGTCATCACTGCCAAAGGAAGAAAAAGAAAGACGTCATGCACATGTTTGCGCAAATGTGTGACTGTGCGTATAGTTATTCATTTAGCAGATGCATCGATAGCCCTCAGAGGGCATTAGCTGGCTGGAGTTTAATGTGTTGACTCCCGTCTCAGTGAGGCTGATCGAGCGACAGCCACTGTGTATAGTAATGTGTCTGGGTCAATATAACGGGGCCATAGTGCTCTGCATGTCCTCAGCTGTCCTGTTAACATACAGAGGAAAATACACGCAAGCTTGCAAATACAAAAACACACACTGAAAATCACAGTCAGCCCTTTCCTGCCTCCTGGCTGGCCTCTGGGCTTTATTGTCCTGCTCTGAAACGGGATCCTGCTTCCTCCTGTAGACCATTACTGTCCCGCCATGTAACAGAGGACAAGGAACTCTACCTTCTCGCTTAGCCTCTTTCTTTTCTTTTATCTGCTCTCCCTCTGTAGGGTGATAGAATCTGAAGATCCATTAATATCTGATGGAGATTTCTGATGACTTAGGAGAATCGACAGTATGGTTGAGATCAATATCACAGTATCAATGTCTAAACATATATTAAATGCCTAATGAAAGCAAAATCAATGTTAACAACAAAGTACTTCCATTGCTTATATGAGTTTTTATTACTTATGGTTTAACAGCATTAACTCTATACCAATTTTGATATCCTTTAATGGTCATTTTTTGAGTACCATTTTTTTTTTTTTTTTAAACCGATTTTCCCGAAAATGTCCCCTGTGCAATGTGAGGTCTATGGGATCCTTTTTGTGTAGGATAATATAATGCTGGACACTGTCAATAAAAACAGAGTTAGCAGCTTGTCATGATAAATGTGACTGAAGAATAATGCTGAAAAAGAAAATGCATTGGTCACATCATGGCAGATAACCGATCCGCATAATAGGTTCAAGGTTCTTTATTTGTCATACGAACATAGCTACAGTGTAGTTATGCCGATGAAAATCTTGTGTCACAGGCTTCTCCAACAGAGCAGCACAAAACACAGATAAACAGAACAAATATAGTGCAAGTAAATAGTAAATGGTAATACAAAAAGAAAAATAGTTTTAAAAAAGTGAAATAGTGCAATAAGAGTCTATATGCAAGTTATTTAAATAGGATATATAGGTAAATAGATAAATAATTTTTAAATATTTTTTAAGTAGCAGCCAGATGAATATTAGGGATGTTGTTTCAACTGTTCAGGTGTTTAACAGATGTTGCTTCAACAGTTCAGGTGTTTAACAGTCTTATTGCCTGTGGGATGAAACTGTCCCTGAGTCTGGTGGTTTTAGTCCGGATGCTAGGGTCAGTATTGGCGCTGATACAAGAATATTGGATTTGTACATCCCTAATCATATCTTCACAATATGGCTCTGCTAAAAGTCGATTATATTCAATCATCGCACAGGCCTGGTTAGCGCTGTAATGACATGCGTTACATGTTTAGCTAATTGATTGAGGACTATCGCAGCAATCTGATTGGTTATGTAATCTTGTTAATTAAGATGACCTTCAAAAGGGGTTTAGGGATTTAGTGCCTGTGATTCTACAAGAGAGGTAGCTCATGTTTCACAAACAAAAGGATAGATGGAGCAAGGGAGCATAATATGATGATGCATTTTGACATGCATTCAATGAGAACAAGTCTAAAAAAAAAAAAAAAAGAAGTCTGGCACAGTGAGGCATCGGATCACCAGACCGTTGTGGCACCATGCGGGCGAAGCAGTTGTAACCGGGCGCTATACGGTGATCGATGCCGAGCTGCTGTTTAAATGCTGGGAATTTGATAATGGCGGCTGTTATCTACTCTAGCCATGGGAGTTACCTGGCTCCAGCAGACCTAATGGGGGGGGAATTGAGGGGGAGAGAGGGGGGATAGGTAACGATTGAAGGGAGGGACAGAGTGCCTGCCCTTTCTGGCAGAACTAACGTTTGAACCTGAAATTGGCTTCAAAACAGTGAATTGATTGTCCTCAGCAGTGAGGTATGTGTGTGTGTGTGTGTGGGTTTGAGGGCGGTGAGGTTAAGTCAGCGCTCTGCTCCTGGAGAGGACTTCTGCACCACTAATGAGCCATCTTCTGGTTCTTGACACTTCTATCTCTCTCTCTCACATGCTGTAGAAAAAGGTGAATACTCAAAAGCTTATTACTTGGTTTGTATCACCACCTTTGTCCCTCCCATGGTTTCACTGAGCCATTAACCTGAGGCAGTAGGTTGGCACCATGTCAGACTACTGTTCACATGGTTTCAACTCAGTGACCCTGTCTTTCTTGTCATCTGCTTTATGATAGACGACACAAAAAAATGGAATGAAACAATGTAGAAAGCTGCCTAGGGCTTTAACTAAGGGTCATCATTCATACAGGAGATTATAATTGTTTGTTTTATGTCATTGAGCCTAATTAGATGATTAACAAACAGGGTTTTGTTAAATGATTATAGTAAGAAGAAATAAGAACAAACTACATTTTCCTGAAGTTTATAAAAATAATATTAAGGTACTTACTCTTCGCACTTGTCAGAAGGTTTAAAGGGAGATATTTCTTTATAATGACCACTCAAACGTTTTTTTAAACCAATGCCTCAGAGCACAATATGTTTGCTACTTTTTTTGCCCAAAATGTAAATACATTTAATTCACCTTGGAATAAAACTGAGAAAAATTGTAAATCCTCAGCACTAGTAAAAGTCCTGTATTAGAAGTTAAACGACTTCATTAACTATTTCTCCATTTTATTATTTATTTCTCTGTTTGGCTCTCATCATATCCGTGCAATTTAAAAGAGATAAAAACTTGAAAATAACTTAGATTTTGTGATTTTGCAGTAGCGGTTGGCAGCAAATTGCCTCTTGTTATGTGTATTGATGTGATGATCAGCCAGCAGAGCACAGTAACCCGAGAGGACAATCATCTGATCTGTCTCATCACAGTGCAATGATATTACCCGGCAATTTTCTCTCTGACAATAAGCCTGCCTTGCAGTGGTCTGCTCTCACAAAAGTGTGGAAATGGGCCTATTTCTATCAAAAAATCACATCAACCTCCATGCCCTTGAGGATACCAGGGAGACAGATTTGTTCCAAAAAACTAAAACAATGGATATGACAGTATTCCAGATATAAGTGCTACAGGAAGGCAGAGACATATATCTGAGAAAGAGTGAGAGACTCCGGCTGTCTACCGCGTGACTGCAGGGAAGGGAAAATGTGTCCGCCAAGGAGGCAAAAGTGACCTTACTTGAGAACATGAATCAGTCCAAAAACATTATTTTGAAATTCTTGGAGTGATATTCCAACAGTTTTTTTTAAAGTTTATAAAATGTGTTTCTTAAGCAAAACAGCAATAGATATCTTTTTTATACCTTTCCATTGTTAAGATTTGCTGGTTTTCTCAGTTTTTTTAACATAATTATCAATGGAATATTGTCTTTTTTGAGATATTTGCGACATTGACTTTGACTCCTCAGGAAATTTGACATTTACTTTTTACATTAAATACTTGATTTGTTAGTAATCCAATAAGGACGTCTGATTGATTTTCTCTACCAGAATTGATCTTATTAGGATGATAAGTGTGGATTTAACAATCCCTTTTCAACAGCATTAGAGAATAATTCATGTGTGGGTAGTGAACAAACACAAGACAGCCAACCCCGAAGAAACAGAAGTAGACGTTTCAGAGTTTAAAAATACACCACCATCAGATAGGAGACAAGTTTCCTCTTTCAAGGAAGCAGATAATTTACATTGAGCTGATAAAAGGAAGAAAAAATCCGAGGAGGCACAGAGCTGCTGTTGCTTATCAGTTCAACTCCAGATTAGCATCTGCTCAAAACTGACTGACTACAGACCTGATGAGGCTCGCAGGAGGTGATTCATTCAGCCCTGTTGTAATTAACCCAGCCAAATACGTGCATGCCTTACTTGCACTCTAAATGAAGTGACAATAGTCTCTCTTGTTAATTGTGTTTTTGCTTTGTTAGTGAAGCTGAGTCAGTTAGTTGGTCTAAATGAATTACTTGTGACAGAGATGAGAAGAGACTTTTGGGAAGAAAAACATCCTCAGTCATGAATTATTAAGAATTTATGTAACTCTCTTAAACTCATTTTATCTTCTTTATCAGCACTGTGTAGGTGTGCTTTGTTCTGATTTGATGGAAAATGGGGTGGGAAATTAGCAAACAACCCACCAACTGTCATTACATTTTGATGAAATGTTGCGAAATTGTTGCTAGGACTGACCAACTCTATTTTTAACTGAGCCATGCGCACTTCAAACCAATGACAAATTCATACAGAAATATCATATGTTAAACTAAGACTGAGAACATTTGGCAGGAATTAAGAACATATTTATAGGCATTTTTTAAACATGGCAATCAAAACTTGGCAACCACTTTAAGAAGTTCCTGACTGGCCATAGTTACGATTCAGATGATATTGCACATTTTATACTTAACCCAATGATGCATCTTTAATTTAAGATAATAACCATAATAATATATATGCTTGGTTAACAATAACAAGAAGAGGTCTTTCAGGTCTGATACTTTAATACATATTGTTACAGATAGTATATTTTTTGTACACTTTTTATTCCATCTTTTAGCTATTATTCTCTGGCCTAAAGTGATTGTAATATTCCCAAAGGTAGATTGGCTGTCATGGTTTCACACCAGAGCAGCTGACAGCCAGCCTGACAAAAGGAAAACAGGATTGTAATTGGATAATCCAAAATGTTCTATGTTCCT